TTTTTTATTTAAATTTTGTTTTAAAATAATAGTCACAAATATTTTTTTCTTTCTTTCTTTAACTTTATTATTATATTTTTATTTTAATTATTCATTTTATTATAAAATATATTTATTTTATTTTTTTAAATAATAATAATAATATAAATTATCTTTAAAATTTTAATTTAAGGATAAATTTTAAAAAATATTTATTGTTCTGAAACAAAAAAGGTATTATATATACAAGTTTATTACAATAGTTCCTGGATGGATTAAGATGACCCCATTAGCATTAGCTCAAAGATATATAAAATAACAACTGGACTGATCATTCAAAATGAGCAAATCATGCAGTACATTATGGCCATCTTCCCCTTCAGGCCTGGTAATTCAGTCGCAGAACTATATATATATATATATATATATATAGAAAATAGTGCATATCGGTGTTATTTTCTAAAGATTATGAGAAAAATCATCTCAAAATTACGTCGTTTCAATAAATTTTTATTGAAAAAGATCAAACTACCATATTTTTAAAATATGTATTAAGGTGATTTTTATTTTTATTTTTTTCTAATTTTTTTAAGGTAAAGCGGATAAATACTAACCATATATATTTTTTAGGAAGAAAAAAATGAAACATTAATAAAGGAATAGATTAAAATTGTATAAAAATAAATAAATAAATAAATAAATAATAAAGATGAAAATAATAAATAAAAATTAGTTGACTACATTGATGATTTTTCAAAAATTTAGTTCGCTGGTGCCTAGTTAAGTAGTTATGTAGTTTCTTGCATAAATCAAAGTACATTATAAGCATATGATATCATTAAATATAGTACCAATTATTTTCAATCATTGGATTTAAAAATATAATCAATTTATGTAAGAGTTACATATTTGTAATTAGGTTCTGAATTATAATCTTAATTCCTCTAGAATTAATCATGGGGCAACTTGAATAAACGACAATAAATTACTAAAAGAGGGTAAAAACTTGTGGTTGAGGTTTAAAGATGTTATAATAGATAATATCAGCCCTACAATCAAGCTTAATGGCAAATTTAAAAACATATATAATTCAAAATTATATATGTGAGATTTATTTACATATAATTCTTATATATTAAATTTATATAAAATTTTAATAATTAATATTTATTTATATTTATTAAAAATAATTATTTTTTATTTAAAAAATTATAATAAATTTTAACTATTAAAAGTAAAAAAAATAATTAAAATTTTATATAAATATAATATATTATATTTTTTTCATAACTAATTAAAATAATTACTTTTAAACAAATTTTAATTAAAAATATGACCTCTATAATTCTATTAATAAAGAATTAAGCGA